CTGGAGTGCAGTGGCGTGATCCTCAGTCACTGCAACCTCTGCCTCCTGGGTTCAAGAGATACTATTGCCTCAGCCCCCTGAGTAGCTGGAATTAAAGACACCCGCCATCATGCCCGACTAATTTTTGTATTTTTAATAGAGATGGGGTTTCGCCATGTTGACCAGACTGGTCTCAAACTCCCGACCTCAGGTGATTCACCCACCTCACTCCCAAAGTGCTGGGATTACTGGTGTGAACCGCTGTGCCCGACCCTGTTTTTTGAGACACAGTCTTGCTCTTTTGCCCAGGCTGGTGTGCAGCGGCGTGATCTCCGCTTGCTGCAACCTCCACCTCTCGGGTTCTAACAATTCTCCTGCCTTAGCCTCCAGAATAGCTGGGACTACAGGCATGCACCACCACACCTGGCTAACTTTTGTATTTTTACTAGAGACAGGGTTTCACCATGTTGGCCAGGCTGGTCTTGAACTCCTGACCTCAGGTGATCCACATGCTTCAGTCTCCCAAAGTGCTGGGATTAAAGGCGTGAGCCACCATGAGCAGCTACAAGGTATATTCACAGGCAAGTTATTTACTATCTCTAGGAATTTGCCAACCCTGAGGGGCATAGTCTCTTCAGGATGAGCACAGCCCCAAGATGTTAAAGCATCAGAAAATACAGACAATAAATTATGAATGTTATAGCCATATTTAAACTCTGACTTTGTTCATGCTGGTTGCTTAACTGCTTTCATTATTGTTTTGGAAGCCAGGCTGAGCGACCGTCTGACCCTACAACCAGAAGAACCCAGCAGAAAAGAGAAGTACTCACCCAAATAGCCCGCTCTTACTTCTGGTGTCAACGGTTCGTTCCCAATAAATGTGTCATCCTGCATGTCTGCCTTCAGGTAGAGAAGGCCCCCAGCCCAGTCCTTGGCTCCTACGGCCCCCACGACTGCATGGCCCTGCCCAGGGAAGGAGATGAGCGGGTCAGCTACCCACCGATCCACCCCCCGGAGTCAGCTGCGCTCCCTGCAGCTCATTGCTCCAAACCAGCACGCACCCTGCTAAGGTCAGCACTGATGCCGCTGGAGGACAGCTCCATGTTGAAGGAAGTCAGGTCCTGTTTGCTTGTGCCTGGGGAACAAAGCAGAGAACAGGTGAGACCCAACAGCCGTAAATGCAGTGAAAAAAATTCATGGCAGGACAGGGAAGAAGTGAGGTATTTACCTCTGGGTTAAGGTAGAAGGCATGCATGTGAGGGTCAGGCAGACCCAGGGAGTGACTTAATGCTGAGTTGACTTTCTCATGTAATACCCTGGGAGTCCCAGATTTGTTTGTTTTTTGTTTTTGAGACAAGGTCTTGCTCTGTTGCCCAGGTTGGAGTGCAGTGGCGCAATCACAGCCTACTGCAGCCTCTACCTCCCCTGGGTTCATATGATCCTCCCGGCTTAGCCTCCTGGATAGCTGGGACTACAGGCACACACCATCACGCCTGGCTTATTTTTTTTTTTTTTTTTGAGATGGCGTCTCTCTCCGTGGCCAAGGCTGTAGTGCAGCAGCACAATCTCTGCTCACTAAAGCTTCTGCCTCCTGGGTTCAAGCGATTCTCCTGCATGAGCCTCCCAAAGTAGCTGGAATTACAGGTGCACCACCATGCCCAGCTAATTTTTGGATTTTTAGTAGAGATGGGGTTTCACCATGTTGGCCAGGCTGGTCTTGAACTCCTGACCTCAGGTGATCCACCCGCCTCGGCCTCCCAATGTGTTGGGACAATGACAGGTGTGAACCACCGTGCCCAGCCTCCAGATTTGAATATCCAATTACTCATCTCCGTGTGTCCAAGACTCAGCTCTTGGTTTCTGCTCTAACTCAGGCTTCTCACGTCAATGAATGGCACTCCCACTCACCTAATGAACCATGCTAAGAATCCAAATCCACCTGCAGTCTTCTCTTTCCTCCATCTCGTCTCCAACACGTCACCAAATCATGATATTCCTGCCTTTGAAATACACCTTCTTTCTGTTTTTTGAGACAGGGACTCGCTGTGTTGCCCAGGCTGGAGTGCAGTGGTGTCATCATAGCTCACTGCAGTCTCAAACTCCTAGGCTCAAGAGATACTCCTGTCTCAGCATCCCAAGTAGCTGGGACTACTGGCATGCACCACTGTGCCTGGCTTATATAGCTTCTCCTTAAGAATGCTTCACTGGCTGGGCGTGGTGGCTTAGACCTGTAATCCCAGCACTTTGGGAGACCAAGGCGGGCAGATTACCTGAGGTCAGGAGTTCGAGACCAGCCTGGCCAGCATGGTGAAACCCTGTCTCTACTGAAAATACAAAAATTAGCCAGGCATGGTGGGACACGCCTGTAATCCCAGCTACTTGGGAGGCTGAGGTAGGAGAATTGCTTGAGCTTGGGAGGCTCAAAAACAACTGGAGGTTGTAGTGAGCCAAGATCACGTCACTGCTCTCCAGCCTGGCCGACAGAGTGAAACTCTGTCTCAAAAAAAAAAAAAAGGTCAGGCACAGTGGCTCACACCTGTAATCCAAGCACTTTGGGAGGCTGAGGCGGGTGGATTACCTGAGGTCAGGAGTTCGAGACCAGCCTGGCCAATATGGTGAAACCCTATCTCTACTAAAAATACAAAAAAATT